GTGGTCGATGCCCCAAACCGGTCAGTGTTTACAGGCATTTGGACAAAGCCCTTAACAGCTCATTAAGTTTTGGTGAGCCCTGAACTGGTCAGGCAATTGGACTAGATGATCACTGTAGGTCCCTTCCAACTGAAATAGTCTATTCTAAATAAAGACACATAAAATAAGGAAATTAATGATTGAATAAGAATATTGTGGTGCTAGCATTGTGATTAGAGCCTTGTGATATAATAAAACTTATTTCCAGCTTATTTCACTGCTAAGCTTAAAAGTAGGAGTTTTATTGATATATTGGCCATTGCTCTGAAATGTTCAAGACTAATTCTCTATTTTATCAGCACCAACATTAGTAATAATAAAAAACCTGCTTCAAACCAGAGTACAAGAAAAGTTTATAGAATTTAACATATTTCTTATTTACTGCATGATAAATAGCACTGATTTGGACTGCAGTTTTGAAGAAAAGGAATGTTCTTTCCTTTCAGCCTGACCTTTTTGCATATATGTTCAAGTATTTTGAAGTTGTACAAGCCCTTCATATATAACATAATTAGTAAATGGATTTTTAAGGTTATATTTGTAGTTGTGCAAGCACTGTCTGAATTTCTTTCACCTGTTATTCCTGAATGAAATACTAAAATGCCTTCTAAAAATGCATTGTTCCAAAGAATGAGAAGTATGCAGCGTTCCTGTGCAAAATTAAAAAAATAAAAAAAAGTGTTAATGAAAATAAACTTCAAAAGTGTCTTTTTTTTCCAAAGGGTATACAAGAGACACATCATTTCTTGCAATGGTCGTGGATATTGTCCAGGAGTTGAAGCAACAGAATTCTAATCTAGTATATGGTAAGGATGTGTATTATAATCCTTTCTACTTTGCCATTGCATATGCCCATCATTTTCTTATTTTAGGATGAAAACGCTGGTCTGATGTTACCCAGCATTTCACAATCATCTTGTGCTCTGATCTGACTGGGACCAGCTGATGCTCCACTCAAGTTTCACTTCAGCATTGCTTCAGTGTTGAGGGAGTTGATTTTTTTATCTTTCTGATTTTATGCCTTTTGTTATGTTTCTTGCATGATGCTATCCAAAGGAGGATGTGCCTGGAGGACTGGCTGTATCAAAAAAAGGCTTGTAAAATCCCAGCTGGCTGCTGCTGTTTGTAGTTCAGAGGGACAGGCTGGAGGTGCGGTTAGCTGAAGCCTGTCCTTGATTTCCAAGTCAGTCAAAAGCAGGATAGGCTTTCCTGTATTACCCTGCCATGGCATCACATTATGTCCCAAAAGTGTCTTACAAGCTTTGTAATTTAGCTTAAACTCCAAGGGTTTTTTAACTCTGGTACCTTCTGCTAAGGTTACCTGGCAGCACTCAAAGAGCAACAGACTAGCAACTGCTGTCATTAATGTGTCATGTCAGGTTTAAACCTGTGGAAAAAAGATTCTCCTGTTTCCTTCCTGAGTGTTTCAGGACTTTTGAACATAATCAGCACAGGCTTGACTTGAGCAAAACGTTTAGAGTGACAGGGCAAAGTCAGTGGTGATTTAATGGGATAAAAAGCTGTGAATGATGGTTTGAGCTTGTCATCTTCAGGTTCAGTAAACTATGTGGTGAGGAAACATCGAGAATGGTTCGCAGCATTTGCAAGGTGTAATACTGTGGAGTGTGGTATCTGACTTAAAAGTTAACAAAGAACAGTTCTCGTTTCGAAAAATGTATCAGAGTTATCTTAATGAGCTCAGGTTTTGTTGTTTTTTAACCTTTATTAACACTGTTGCATTGTCAGGTTCTCCAGAGCCTTTTACTGGTAAGTGAAAGCTAAAAACTGTTGGAGTATGAAAGAGAAAGAAATGCATAGCTGTATAGAACAGGAAGGAAGTGGTCAGATCATGAGAACACAGCTAGGCTTCCAAGATCCTTTATATTTAGTAAATAGATTATAATGTAATGAAAATATATTTAAAATGTAAAACAAATTATCCTGGTTTTATTCATACAAACTTCCTTAAATACTGATTGGATGTTGATTTGATACCTTTGGATTTGTATTTCTTTTTTATTTTGCTAAAAGCTATTTTAATACATTGAACAATGTTCCTTGTACAAGACCAGGCTGTTTCTATCCTCACTTCAAAACTGAGGGCACTTGGAATATGTTGTTAATACTACTGGTGATTCAGAACTTGTGCCAAATGCGTGCTAATATTATTATACTGAGTATGAGTTTATGTACTTTGGCATGGATTTTTTATTTGTTTGATTATAATACGTTTTGGTGTGTACATTTGTCATGTATCTCTTCACCCTAAAGTAAAAACAGGGTTCTTTTCAGAGCTATTAGCTTCTCCCATGCTTCTTCCCCACCATGCTGCTATTCCAGAGTTTTGGGTTGGGGGGTGAAGGGTAGACCTCTCTGCATTTTCCATAACAAAAGCCCCTTCACTCCCACCAGTCAGCCCCTCTTATCCTCATCACCTTCATGCATAACAACATGGAAGCCAGTGGGAGAGAGTGACTGTAACCCTCTGACAGTTGTTTAAGATACATGGCCTACGCTTTCACAGTTGGCAGCCACCAGTTATAAATTTCTGGCTGAGTGTGCTGCAAGAGCTGAGTGAGTATGTGAGTTACCAGGTGCTCAGTGCTGTTATATAGCCACTACTGCTACCTAAAACTTTTCCCTCCCACCAGGGTCTCTGTGACTGTCCCCCATTTCTAAAGCTAGATTTATTCTCTTACAGTATGCGATCCAGTGATGGGTGACAAATGGAATGGAGAAGGCTCTATGGTTAGTACTTATCTGTTTGGATTCTCTGTAAAGTGAATATTTGCTATGTAAAGATTTATTAATTTTTAAACATCAGAACTAAGCTACTTTACCTAAGTGTGGCTTTGGATCCCAGCATTAAGTAAGTTTGTACTTTAATTTCCTGTATTTGAGTTCAGTATGTGGGAAGAATGATGGCTGCATAGCCCTGGGATTATTTTTTACTCTCTGCTGAGACAACACGTGCAATATAGACCCTGTCCACAGGAAAATATCCCCCTGCTCCTCCTGCTGTTCTCCCTGGAGTTCCCTCGTCTTCTATCAAGAGCTCTGTTTTGGCTGGTAGCCTCTCTGGCATTGTCAGTGATCGTGGGAATTGACATACCACTTGAACTGAAGTGAAGGTGGCTTATTTCATGTGAGATCCAACAGCTGTTAGGCATTGTGATCAGTGACAGAAAGGTTCTGTGTGCCAGTACCAGACTGCATGCTGACAAAGAAACATTGGTTTTTGAGCAAAACTAGCAAATAATTTCAGTTAAATGCAATGTGGGAAGACAACAGTAATGGTGATATTTTATGTTTTCTTCTGCCTTAGCTGGTCATGCACTATGAATTCCTCTTTGTCCTTGTACCTTCCTACAGTTTACCTGCTCATAAAACATCACATGATATAGCACTTAGTAATAAATTTGCCATTGCTTTTGTGTTCTATTCTTTCCTTTTATGTCTGTTGCAATATTTATTATCCTTGGCTTTTTCTAACAAGGCAGAGATCTAGTGGCTGTAGAGTCACCTTGCAAAGCCTTAGTTCTTGGGAGAAGTCATTACCGTGGACCTACCTGTGTCTTTAGGGAGGAAGACAAGGTAGTTGGAAGAAAATGAGAAAATTTAGCATGAAATGCACCAACTCATTCCTGACATAAAAACTAATATAATGATTATTTAAAACTCCTTAGTTTAGGTATGACCTAGTCTTGCATTTCTGTCTAAAGGCAGAGTCCATGTGACATCATCGTTTCACCATGACTGCATAAGTGAGATCAATATCAATACAACGGGTGTTCTGGTAGTACCTAGTGGTCAACACTGTGGTGGGGTTGTACCTGTTGCTGATACAATTGGAACGGGAGACAGTAACACATGGACACACGTATGCATGCACCCTGCCCTGTGTAGCTTATGAGCCTAACAGAGGAAATAAAACATGGATGAAAGGGGGTATTAATCCTGATCTAGCAAATGGAGTTCTGCCAAAGAATATCAGCTACTAGTAAACAATGAACTTTATTGAAGGTTTTGTATATTGAGTTACAGCAGGACTCAGGAAGGTGAGGGGACCCCTGTTACCTGTCTAATCAGAACTTCTAGCAGAGCTCCAGTACCTGCAAAAAAAGCTGATGCTTTTCAGCTCTGAATCTGAAGAGCATACAGGTCTGCTATGTCTTGGTGTACGTCACCAGCTTAGACAACCAATCTCCTTTTGCTTTTGGGCTGTATTTAGCTAATGACAGTGGGATGGAGATGGAACAGGAAAACAGAAAGGGGAGCATTAGCCTTCATTGCTCGAATGGTTGATTCTGCAGGCAGTGAAGTATGCTTGCAGTTTGTTAGACTTGGGTGCAACACAAGCAAAGTATTTTTAATGTACTTATCGGAACTGCTTTATAGATTAAGTTGTACTGAACAAATTACAAATCTGATTCCTGTTCACACATATTAATGTACAGCACACCCTAGAAATACTGCACTGAAAGAAGGAGACATACTAACACATAGCATGGCTAAAATGTTTGTTCCTGAACCCCACAATGCAACATGATCAATGTGGGTGCATGCTGGTGCAGCAAAGGACCCCTGTACTTTTAGTACAACAAAGTAGTTTATTTTGGAGGTAAGGGCATGAAAAAGGGTTCTCCATGTTGGGACACCATATTTCATCATGCTGCTGTGTCACCTTGGTGAGAGGGGACCCAGAAGTAATTTATCCAGGCACCATTTCTTTTAATGCTGCCAGTTTAGTCCTGTCTGCTTAGCAGTGCTTGCTGTTTCCTCCAGTGAAAGAAGGGCTGTCGGCTGTACTCTCACCAGCCAGAGGATTTGGTTACTGCTGCATAACAGTACACTGGGATCTGTCAGGTTACTCAGTGGCAGCATGAATAGTAGTTGAGGGAAGGAGAGTTGCACTCCCACGTCTGGGATGCTGCTGACAACATCTGATACTGTTTCTTCTCCCATAGTATGTGCCTAAGGATCTCCTCCCAGTCTACAGGGACAAAGTTGTACCTGTTGCTGATATAATAACTCCTAACCAGTTTGAAGCTGAGTAAGTACTTACTTCCTTTTATAGCCAAGTAAACTTGGGGATAAAAGCAGGCGACACTGATACCCATTATTTTGGATGGGGCCCTGGGCAGCCTGATCTAGTGGTTGGCAGCCCCGTCCACAGCACGGGGGGTTGGAACTGGATGATCTTTAAGGTCCTTTCCAACCCAAACCATTCTATGAGTCTATGATTCTGTTTGTCTCAGTACAGTGCCAGATGTATGTATGTGTTGGGCTTTGGTTTTTAGCTGTTACTTTCAAGTGGTGCTTTTCAGCAAACCTCCAACTGTTCCATGTTAAAACCAATAAAAAATCTGGGACTTATTTGAGGAAAAGATTTATCTTGTTTTCTCCCGTCCCTCATTTTCGTGATTACTTCTTGTTCTCTCCAGAGGGTTGTATGTAGGGCAGATTGAAAATATATCTCTCTTCCCTTCCCTGTCCTTACCCATTCCTTGGAAATTTTTTATTGTATGTCAGAATACCAAAACTGAAATAGTTTGACTCAAGCACCCAAAATTAGATTCAGAAATACTACCATGGCAAAATCTGATAAGGAATTAAGAATTTAAATGCCTCCTGCCCATCCTGTCTACATAGCTGTGACTCTTTGGTTGGGAGAGAATCTGTTGGTTGGGACAGGCTGTCTATCCCCTTAAAGGAAGGGTGCAGCTGCATGGGAGGTGGAGATAAGACACTTGGGAGAGAATTTTATGATACAAGCATCTCTACAGGAGGCAGTTTAGGACTGGTGTGAGTGTTCCAGAAGCACCGTGTATCTGTGGATGTAAGGGCAGTGGTCTGGTATGGAAGACCACATAGCTACAAACCATTTAGGCCTGTGTGGTGTGGTCCAAGCTTTCCTCTCTTCAAAGAGCAAACAAAAGCAGTCATTGTCTAGAGAACTTGTGCTCTTTTAAGATTTCTGTTTTATTCTCAGGTTACTCACGGGCAGGAAGATTCACACAGAAAAAGAAGCTTTAGAGGTAAGTAGGCAAGGGGTAGGATGTATAAGATTCCTGACTGCAGTGCTGCAGTTTGCCATTTGTCTTTAACCTTGGAGTTACTTTGGCCTCTTGTCCTTTCTTCCCATTTATCATTAAAGCTTGCGCTCTCCAGGCACAGAACACTTCCTGTTGTAGTGTCAGACTTCTGAGGAAACTTCCCCAAAGAACTACAGCTAAAGGCATTACAGTGGTAATGAGTAGATCTCTGTGAGCTCGTTTTCCTGCAGTGTAAGAAGGGAGGCAGCAGCACACATGGCGAGTAACCACACACCCTCAGTGCTGTGGAAATGCACTGGTTGGGGTGCAACCCCAACCCGGTGACCCTGGGCGTTAGAAACCTGCAGGAGTCGCTCCCTCTGCTGTCCGCATGTGAGTCGTGCAACAGCAGTGCCGAGTGCTGGGACAGACCTTCTCATTCTCCTACACAGACTGTTTGCAGGAAGAGAGCTCACTAGCAAACTCTTACAAACTCTTATTGGCTGCATACACTCTAAATCTCTTCCTGACAGTGTTTGCTGGTGCTCTGTTTCTTTTCCTTAAATTTACTCAAAGGGAATGAGACATGGGTTGCAAAAGGATAGATTGGATAGATGAGAAACCAGGCAGGGAGTGATGGCATTTGAGTACTTCTTGGTGAAAGATGGACAAATCCACAGCATTGATAGCTGCTTTCATTGCCATACAGAGATGATAGATGGGCTGCAAATTTACTGTATTGAGGTGTAAAGATTTATGCCTTCACACAAACTGAAGAAAATAAAAAGCTGCGGAGCTTGGTGATGAAGGACAAAATAGAAATATGGTTTTATTGGTGTATTGAAAAGGGCTGAGGTCTTTGTTTCCTTGACTAGTCAAGTGCTTTCATAGTGGACTGATGTTATTTTTTCCAGTTTGGTTTTGAACTTCAAAGGAACACAAAATCTTTAAACAAACAGCAGCTGCAGTGGTACCCTGGGGAGTACCTGGGGTCTGTCAGCCCAAATGTTTGTTGTTTTTTCCCTCCAGCAATGGCATGCAATGTGGGTTGCAGCTCCAAAGATCTCAGTTCTTTTCAATTTTCCCCTCTCCCAGTTTTACATTACCCCACTGTGCTGGGTGAGGGAGATGAACTGTTCTTCATGCCACTAGGTTCTAACTACAACTCAGTTCTCATCCTCACCAGTCATGCAATGTGGGTTGTGTACCATGCATGCAATGTGGGTTGCAGCTCCAAAGATCTCAGTTCTTTTCAATTTTCCCCTCTCCCAGTTTTACATTACCCCACTGTGCTGGGTGAGGGAGATGAACTGTTCTTCATGCCACTAGGTTCTAACTACAACTCAGTTCTCATCCTCACCAGTGGAATCACAGTCTTGAGAACAACACTGTTAGCTGAGCAGCCATTAGTTTTAGGTTTGCATATTTCAGCTGCAAACATGAGTTGCCTGTGCTAAACAATTTTACAAGTTAGTTTTCTGACAGTCTGTCTGATTTATGTGCTAGCTCTTATTTGTGATGGGTTTTAAAAAATCTCTTCAAAGAAAAGGTGGATTTATACTTAGGAATTGAAAGTAGTTGTTTGCAGGATATTCTATTTCAATCTGTCTATCTCCCTGGCTGTGTGTGATATATGGGTCTGTCCTTCTGAGTAATAATCCATGCTGAAATTTGTCCCATTTGGAGGTGGTAGGAATTCTGACATCAATTTCTATGGTGACATGCTTTCATTCATTTCTTTAGCAAGACTAGTGACAACAGTGTAGTCTTCTAACATTAAATATGATGTTAATGTAGAAGGGACCTACAACTAGAAATACTGATTAGGTTCTTGGTGAATTGTGACTGAGAAATGAAATTGAGTTTGATGTTACTTCACAGGTTGATTATGTCAGCGTGTGCTGATGGATTTACTGCTTCTTTAAAACCCAACTGATTTCTATGCAGAGAGGTCTGATAGTTGAAGAAACTTGGAGGCTTAGACAAGACAGAAAAGCAATAGAGAATTAAATACTAGCAGAAATAAATCCTTATCATTCAGCTGCTTATGAGTCATAGCTAGCCTGAGAGGATTTTTAGTTAAACTCTTCTGGGAGAATTAATATTTTATCTGTGTTTTATGCTAAACTCATTGCTGAAGTCATTCTTTCTTCTGTGAAATCAGAATCACTTCTGTAGCAACCAATTGTGATGTCAGAAGTAGAGTATTAATGAATTTAAGTGAGGAACATGCAGAGTGGAAGTACACCTGTAAAGGTACATAATTTACAGGTGTAATTCGGGGTTTGAAACAGAATGAGAAAGGAAGATTGAGACAGACACACTTGTGCCTCTGATTTAGCTCTTTAACTCTTTGTTTTTGCTAACTCTTAAAGTAGTAGCTAAATAAGACTCCATGTCCTGGAGTTACTGTCTTTCTAGCAAGTGTTTCAAGATGCCAGCTCAGTGCATGTGCCTGTATATTTGTTCTCTTATTCTTTGGATCATACGTTCTGAAAACATGATGCAATCAAAAATTCTGATCACAGCTGAAGCAGAGTATTCTTTTCAGAGGGTGATCCAAAGATAATACAGAGACGCTTGCATATTTTAACAAGTGTGTACATTTAAATACAAATGTTTTGATTCTCCTGTTTCAAGTTATTTCCACTAATTCATGTCGGTTCTTTGAGTAGAAACTGTTTTTTTTCCTTCACAAAAGATGCCGAAATAAGGTGCTTGTCAAAAATCCGTAGTACTATTAGTGGTGCACGGTTTAATCAACACACATTGCAGTCACTGATTCCTGCCTTTTCACACTTGGAAAGGTAATGGATATGCTCCATGCCATGGGACCAGAGACTGTGGTGATCACCAGTTCAGATCTACAGGCGCCTCTAGGAAACGACTACCTAATTGCTCTGGGAAGCCATAGAAAAAGTAAGTCATGAACTCCTTCATTAAACTGTGCTGTCTTTTAGCCCATTCTGTGCTCTCAGTCACTTTCTGAAGAAGGGGTTTCATGATACCCATCTGTAGTACATGGAAGGAGCTTAGCTCCCTGAGTGAACTACTTCTCCTGCAGTAATATCAGAGAGCGGTAAGAATGGGACTGCTCCATGAGGGAAGACAAGCTGGGAGCAGAATGTGGTCATAGCACAGGCAGAGTACTGCCCTCACCAACAGGGCGCAGGCCCACAGTATCTGAATAAGGTAGGCAGAACAGGGGTGGTGATGGCAGACAGGTCCCATTGACAGTCCAGTGATTACTGGAGAAAGGTGAGACAAGGCAGGTCCCAGATTCATCTGGAAAATCCAATCAGTAAGTCAGGACAGCAGGGCTGTACACAGGTACACCTAGAACATAGCTCAGGTAAGGATGCTTGTGCCTGGGCCTGAGCTTCCATACCACTCCTGGGCAAGTGGGCAGAGGGTGCACCAGTGAAGGATGTCCGAGGTGAGGTTGATCAGGGCTGTTAAAGTCCCTAGTGGTAAGTGGTATAGAACAGGAACTTTGAATGTTTTGAATGCTTTTATGACAAGTTACACTGTCCTGTTAGCAGGCTGTTCCTCCCCTGATAGGTTGTATAATATCCTCCTGCTTCTCCTTTATATCCCATTCTATACCGTCACCAAGATTCACTGTGTGTTTCATCTATGGCCGGATGCTTTTACATTAGAAGAGCATAGTTATGTGGGATGGTATATGATCTTGTTTTCTTGTTCATCTAAGAGATCTAAATGTGGGCATCACATTCTGGACTGCTCAGAGACCAAAAAAGTCTTGGTATTTAACCCAGGCTCCACTAAGAATCAGTGTCTCTTAGCACTCAGTACAGAGAATCATAGAATCATTTTGGTTGGATCATCAAGTCCAGCTGTAAACCTAACACTGCTGAGTCCACCACTAAACCATGTACCTAAACACCTCATCTACACATCTTTTAAATACCTCCAGGGATGGGAACTCAGCCACTTCCCTGGGCAGCCTGGTCCAATGCTTGGCAGCCTTTTTGGTGAACAAATTTTTCCTGATATTCAGTCTGCCAGGTCTGGAATAAGTCTGGTCATTCCAGTAGTGATTACAGTGTGGCACATGGATCAGATATTGTCTGCTGATGTCTACAGTTTCTCTTGTGCCTCCATACAACCCAGAGACACTCTAGGTTATGGTTTGGCATGACCTATCTAGGAATTCAACAGTCTACATAAATATGCAGTTTCCTGAGCGAACTGCTGCTGCTGTGTAAATGAAGATAGATTACTCAACCCTTCATGAAAAGGTGCTAGCTACCTGCTGTCTCTTAAGTGAAGTATGTACAGTATATAAGTTGTAAATGCTATTCTAGCTTAGCAAAGTTGTGAAGGTTGCGCCTTTTAAAAGAGCTGCTACAAAGTTTACAATACTCCTTAGCGTCTTTACATTCCAAACAACAAAGGAATTCAAATCTGGTGATAACTTTTAAATTACAGTAAATCACTTTTAAATTACAGTAAATGCTATTGTATTAATTGCTGAGTCTGTTATTTAACTGTCTATCTGTGTTGTAGCTAAAGCAGATGGTACCAAGATGACACAGAGAATTCGAGTGGAGTCTCCTAAAGTGGATGCTGTCTTTGTTGGAACAGGAGATTTGTTTGCTGCTATGCTTTTGGCATGGACGCATAAGCATCCAAACAATTTGAAGGTCTGGGATAAGTTATTTGTCTCTCTGCAAGTTTAGACTACATTTTTTGTTTGTTGGTTTGTTTTTTTTTTTTAATTACTTTAGATCAATGCCATTATTTAAAGATTTTCTTCTGTTTTGGCTTCTTTTCCTTACCTCCGAGTTAAAAAAGTAGCATTTCCCTTCTGCCAAAACATTTTAGCTTGCATTACGTTTGGATGGTTGCATTTCCCTTACATGTTTTTTTGTAATTTTGACAAATAAGATGTTCTTCCCTCTAGAGAGAAAGAGACTGCATGCGTTTGAACTTATTTTCAGTGCTTATTATGAAGTGAGAGTAAAAAATATAATTAATCAGATCTGGTTTTTTTCTGTTTCTTTCCCTTAAGCACGGAGAGTCCTCAGTATGAGTGTATAGTTTCTAGTTCCTGTTTCAGGAGAATTAAGAGAGTCTTAAATTTTTTTTCCCAAACTCAGCATCACATAGTTGACATCCTGTTTGTATCTTATCATTCATGTTTGCCACTTAATAGCAATGTTTTTTAAATACTAGTATTAAACTAGGCAGTTGAAATTTTACTAAAACTGCAATGTGTTATGTTAATGCAGGTGGCGTGTGAAAAGACTGTGTCAGCCATGCAACATGTTCTGCAAAGGACCATTAAGAGTGCAAAAGGTAATTCATTCAAACCCTGTTCCCTTGTTCTGTCTGGATTTGCATCACAAGAAACATTCAGAGAGCTTTCTGGGTTTCCTGACTAAAGGCAGCTCTCAGTGCAGAAGCAGCCATAGAAATTACAGGATGAGAGTTTGGTAGTCTTCTCAGTGCACATTCCTTACTCTGTCCTCCAAGCCTATTTTTGACGACATCCGACTGAAGATGTCACTGTTCAGCTTGTAGTGGGACTACAGCCATGTTGACTGTACTTGACTGCTTTGCCAAACAGTGGCAGAAGAACCTGAGGAAATGCTGAGTTTGGCATGCAAGAGAGCTTCTGGTTTAAGTGTAGCTCACTCGGTTTCCCTTTCAGTGCATGTGTTTAGTAATGAGAGGGGTTTATCTACTAACAATAAATAGTCTGTTTGCTGTGTTGGCCGTGTGAAGAGCAGTTCCCCCCCGCCCCCCAGCATCTCTCCTCTTGGAATTCCCTTGTCTTTCAGTTCCTATGATGATCCAGATGTGATCTGTGGGGTTTGGGGGCATGTCTGTGTCACTTTCTAGTAGCAGCAGAATCATGTTTCTTTCCTGGAGAAAGGTGCAGAACAGGGGTGATAACAAAATCACAGTGCTGACCTGGATCTTCCACCTTGGAAGCCTTTAGCAGGGAGTAGTAAGGGAGACTGAGGAGGGGACAAGGGTAGAAAAAATCCTGGGGTAACAGAACAATGTAAGTTGTTTCTTTTTATACTGCTGTTTTTAATGATATTCTGATGTCATCTTTTTAGCACAGGCTGGAGAAGGAAACAAACCAAACTCAGCCCAGCTGGAACTGAGAATGGTCCAAAGCAAAAAGGACATAGAAAACCCAGAGATCATAGTGAAAGCCACCGTGTTATAAAGGCTGTACATCTCCAATAACGCACAATGTATTGATGTCCTCATTTCTTTCTTGTAAATTGTAATATTTGCCTTAGATCTGTGACAGAAACCTGACTTCCATGAAATAGTGCCCAGCATAGGCAGATATCCACTCTCAAACATATGTGCTGGCCTTGCTCACTTTTAAAAACAAAACAGTTAGTGTGCATTGAAGCATATTGCCAGGTATCAAAATGGCTGTCAAATTCACTTAGTCTATGTAATTACCCGGGGCAAGACAGTACAATGTTCCTGCCTTGCCAAAGACTTTAGATGTGAATTTGCTAATGGAATGCTTGACTGACTGGAAAATATATTTCAAGATGACATCTAGTGCCAATGGAGCTGGCTCCATGCTCCCTTTTCCTGGAGATACCTGGTTACCTACTCTGGTATCCAGTATCTCAGCTGCTATGAAACTAAGCAGGGTTAAAACTACACACAAAGTTCTGCTTGTGTGTAGGAGTACTTTGAAGATGTTTGGCATTTAAGTACTCTGAAGTGACCTTGAGGTGGCATTCATGTTACTGATAACTGCTCCTGTTTCTTGTCGATGAACAGCTGCACAGTTTCAGATTTTGCAGGTACTGGCTGCTTATTTCTAATGTCCATAGGTACCCACATGATTTTCTTCCAAAAGCTGCTCCAGAAACTTCTTCATTAAAAAGATAATGTCTTTATTCAGTAGCTCTGATTAGAAGTTTGTAGTTCTACCTCCGAGGCCAGGTTTTAGCTAAGGACAAACATTCTGTAAGGGCAAAAGAGAAAGCAGCTCTTGCCTTGAAAGCTGGCTGCTCTAGTTTGTTCTTCATGCGTGGATGTATTTACAAACTATGTGGGGCACTTCCACTTAACAATAGTGAGCACTATTGGCAGGCTTATCAATGAAGCAATATGCTAAAAGTAATATTTTTGGTTTAGTAAGTTACATATGTTTATCAAATGCAGTGAAACATACAGAATTAGTTTGTTCATAATGTCAGTCTCTGCAGCCTACACTGATGAGAGATGACAGAAATGCATTATTATTAATACATCTTTATGTCAAAATTCTGCTTTATAATGCTTCAAAATGGGATTCTTAATTTCGGCATCTTACACATCACAGACACATATGATACCAGTAGTGCAGATATACTGACAGGTATTGGCCCCTCATACTTCCATATGATTTCTATATGTGACTAAGGTTCTTGCTTCTCCCAAGATGGGGTCTCGTGCATTGTTAAATCCAGATTCAGTTGTTGAGCTTGATTTGTCTCAGACAGCATAGGGAGATTAAAATTGCATTTCTACCTGCAGTGACCTGAAGCAAATTTGCATGAGAGGAAAGGACTGAGTTTGTCTTAATTACCTGAGTATGCTCAGGAAACACACTCTTGAGTGTCTCCCAGATACCTTTCCTTCACCTTCCTCATCACACCTGCCTGACTGGTAGTGTGATTTGCATAGCTTGGGAGTCCCCAGAAGAGTTGGTTTGGACATTACGTTGGCCACTCAAGACTTCACTTCTCCCAGTGTTTTTAGTGGATTTTCTGCCATTGTAAAAGTGAATTGCTTTCACTTAGTAGAAGAGTAATTTATACTTAAAGTGAATTTTTAGCTGACTTGATTTTTTTTTTTTTTCATAGAGTAAGATTTCATAATTGATGCATTCCTGAAAACCCTCATTTTCAGTATCTCCGAAGCAAAAGAAATTTAAGAGATTAACATGTTTTGCAGTAAGTGTAAGAGGCAAACTTCAGGCTTTCACTCTCAACAACTAAAAATAATTTTATTTCCTCTCATGCATTTGGCATTAAAAATTAAAAATTAAAAAAAAAAAACAAAAAACAAACCCCAAACTTATGATTTGAGAATTTTGCGGGGAGAAAAACCCCAGAAACATGACTCTACTGCCACAGTTTTTAATAACCACTGCCATGAAATAAGTTTTTAGCAATAATAATTTTGGTGGTGTGAGCAGTTGCTAAAGTTAGCAGTTAGTAACAGACATGAGCTCATGGCTGATATCCAGCATGCAAAAAGACATGAACTATCTTAACAGTGTGTATAAATATCTGGTGAGAAGCAGTGAAGAAGAAGGAGCCAGCTTTTCTCAGTGGTGCTCAATGAAGGTGTAAGAGGCAATGGGCACAAACTGAAATACAGGAAATTCAACTGAAGCATTAAAAAAATATAATTCACTGTGAGGCTGGTCAAACACTGGCACAGGTTGCCCAGAGAAGTTGTGGAGTCTGCATCCTTGGAGATATTAAAAACCTGACTGAACATGGCCCTGAGCAGCCTGCTGTACTTGACCCTGCTTGCGCAGGGGGTTGGACTAGGTGATCTCCAGAGGTCCCTTCCAACTTCAACCATTCTGTGATTCTGTGAAGTACAACAAATGGCCTTTCTTTGCAGCACTGTATTTTTAAATTCATGCCTTTTTTTTTTTTTCCCCCCCTTCCTGAGACACAAACCTGCAGATAGGCTAGAAGATAGCTCAGTATTAATAATTTGCCCCCTTTTTACATAAGCTGCTTTTTGCTTGCGCAGTTGTGCCAGGAATACAATTGCCTTTTTTGAGATAGTTGCTTTCAGCAAAGACACTTAAATACCGTAGCCAGTGATGCATTTCATCAGCTGAGCACAAAAAGATGTTAACTGTTTATAGGATTGATTAAAGAAGTGTTGCATGCCATATTCCAAACATAACTATGAGTTTATTTATCTTTTAAAATTAGACTATTTCATGTGGAAGTATATAATCCCTGCCATCCTTTTGGGAAGAAGGGATCAACATACTGAACTTTTCTGCTTGTACATAGTCCTGGTCAACTTTGTGGCATTATGCTTGATTCCCTCACCCAACTGTGTCCAGTTTTGCAGCTCCTGTGGGTCACATACAAAAATCTTCAGACAGCCAAGCTTTGAGACCTCTGCTGTGTCCCTCAGATTGCCAAGAATTAGATGAATCCCAGGATTCACTCACATGCAGTAAATGGCACTTGTTGTCTAAGGTCCTGTGGCTCTAGCACAGAACTTGGCTGGGTCTGGAAGTGGCTCCTGGTGCACTGTCTCCTGTACCAGGGCTGTGGATTGCCCAGCACCCCCTGCACCAGCATTAGCTTCATTGTCAGTCGCGTAGCACAGCCTGGCTTGGGACCTGCATGGGGCTGAATTGAGAGCCATATGGTGGCCATCCCTGCACTAGTGCAGTGCAAAATTGAGGTTCTTCAGTTCTTCATATCAGGGGATCAACAGGAGAGAGAAGCTCAGAATTGTCCTTTTATTTTTTTTTTTTTAAAGCAGCATTAAGTATACACTGTCAAAATTTGCTGTCAAAGAAACTCTGTCCGTTGTAAACATGTACACATGGGAAAAGCCCTTTTAGTAAGTGTGAGACAGCACAATTGTTTTTAGCACTAAAAAATAGACTCACAAGGGAACTGAGAGAAAGGCAGGGCTGTTTTTCTCTGAAATAAAGCAGCTTGGAGTTTAGGAAACTTAAAGCTACTTTACAGACAAGGTTTCATCTGTAAACCATAATGAACCTTGATCTTGCCATAGAAGAGAAAGTGAGATGTTTTGCTGGAGCAGTGTATACCTTTCAGGTGTGATCTTTTCCCAGTGCTTCAAAGAAAGAATCAGTGCAGTAATTCACACCTTCCTTAAAATCTGTGATATAGCCATGCTTAAGAAAAGAAAAGAAAAAAGAAAAGAAAACAGAAAAGAAGGATAACAGTACTAATGTTCTCAATTTGCAATAGTTCATATTTTGCAGTAGCTGGGTTCTGCATCAGTGGACTGGTAGCTGCTTCTGCTTAAGTCCCTGGGAGTTGCTCTTACGATGCGTGTTTGAAACTCCCACTGACCTGATCTAACTTAGGTCAGGTTTACATCTTTGGTGAAGAATTGGACTTAACATCTCTTGCCAGGCACAAACCTCAGAAATTATCTGTAAATATGTTCTGTAGCTAATGTTTTGTAGTCGCAACAGGCTAACAGGCATTTTTAAATGTCAAGGTATACATACTTAGGTGCATTTTTATTTGTTCAGAGTTACACAGCGCTTTTTCATAAGGCTTGCAGAACAAAATTCAGAGACTCGGCACAGTTCAGTCCAATCTTCTATTCCCTCGTCTCCTCCTGCATATAATATCTGTTTCTATTTCTGAGTTCCTACTCTCTGATGCAACTGGAAAGTGTCTTGGTATTAGACAGCTGGCTCCTGTTTATTTAAGAGCTTGGAGGAGACTTACCAGGGTTGTCTGATCCACTTCCAGATCCTTAGGTAAAGAAAAATGGTCAGCCTAAACCAGTTCAGGTCCTAACTGATTACAGAAGAACAAGCACTTTAGCCCAGAGAGTGGAGTCAGTAACTAATGCATATAATCTTCCATAACCGTCCTGACAGCATGAGAGGTGTCTCTCCTAATCCACCAGTCCAGCATTCACCACTGAGGGACTGCTCGCTTCACTGCCACGTGTACTCCCATGTGTATGTGTAAAGTGAGCTGTGGAGGATGCCTCTGGTGCTGAAGTACCTTATACACCTGGCAGCGGTGAATGCTTTGTGTTTGTGCCCAGTTGACTTCCCCACCAGCCTTTCTTTTTGCTTACTGGAAGTAATTTGTGTCAGATCCCTATTTCTGGAATGAACTTGGCAGTGTATGTGGTCAGCCATTTTGATTACTACTCATTTGCAGAGCCATCATCGTGCAGGAGAGACCAAAAGTCATTTACAAACAATCTACTCCGTTCTGGGCCCGGCTTAGTCTCTACATGCTTTAAGATTCCTGTATACTTCTTTGGGAGACATGGGTAAGGACATTGTGCTAAAATCAGTGCTCTTCACACTCGATACAAACGTTTTAGAAATCTGCGGTATGAATTGTTAACTTTAATGTTTGTTTGCTGATTTTTATTATAAGTGTGAGAGAAATCTATAATCAATATGTTACAGAAAAGAATTGGAGGACCAAGGTTTCCAGCTACTCATACTGTCTTTTTTGA